AAAAAAAAAAAAAAAGATTCCATAGTAATTTACATACCTGAATCTGATCCTTATTTCCAGCAGTGATGTTTGATATGGTCCAACAAGCTTCCTTCTTGATGCTTTTCTTATGATTTTGAGTCAGCAAGTTAAGCAGACAAGGAAGAGCCCGATTCTCAATAATAACCTGAAAATAATTAAACAGAAGTGAGTTTCTGAAAAGGTAATGCTGCTTAGTCCTTTCGGTGATAGGAGTGGAATTTTTATTGGAGTTTTATTTAGAAAGGCTGTCAACTTGATTCTTTAAAAGATGCTTATAAGTGTATTTGGGTTGATGCTCCAGCTGATACCGATTTGAAAAGGGTTAATCAAAGAATTGTTTAGTCTCTTTATATTTCCACCACTCAAAATTTCAAATCATGGTGGTCGTTAAACACGAAAAGCATTTTCCTGTCTAAGGACCCTTACAGTACATCACAATGGCACACCAAGAAATGCCCCCATACGCCTTGATAAGCACAACTAAGATTTCATTAAAGGATTTAAATGGAGTTACAATGCATAGTTCAAGAACAGCAAAGGACTACATAAGAATAAAGCTGATCAAATTTGAAGAAGAGCTATAGATTGATTTCAGAAACCAATTAATATCTTTCAAAGATCATGAGTACTCAAAAATAATTATATAAAAAATAATCATAAAAGAAGCCTAGTAAGCGATATATTAAAATAAACTGTAAAATTACATTTTCGATCCTTTCTACCATTCAATCTATTTAGGGGATTTCTGACCTATTACGCACTGGGGCCAACCTACTACACACTTATAATGCTAATAAGGGTCATTTGCATTTCACCTCCTACAAAAATGGCAAGTGACTGGCAGTTTGATCAAGTACATCCCTTGAAGTCGTATGCTCCCAATATGCACAAGTCTTTTGCCGATTGACAACTCTTCTTTTGCAAATGTACTTTTTCTTAGTACAAGCTTCTCTCTCTATATCTCCCTAACCCAACCACTTTTCACATTTTAGTTGACAATATGATCATATAAGGACAAGTGCTTGAATCATGAATTTCACTATGCGTAACTAAGCACAACTATTTCGAAAAGGAAATTGATTTTGAGTCATTTGACTTGAATGAAAACCAAGAGATTCCCAAGTCACTACAAAGATGCTCAAACATTTAAATTAGCGTTGGAACACAATGGAGGCCATTTAAGAAAACAAAGACAAGAAACTCGTGCAGTTTTGTAACAAAATAAAAAACAATGACAAAGTAGGAAACTTCTGCTAAAAATTAATGATGATAAACAAGAAACACCACATATAGACATGATAAACATTCCAAGGGTATCATTTATGAAAGAGTAGGTGCTTAAAGACCAACTACATAAAAGATGAAAGACAAAAAAGCAGAAAGATCAGTAAAACGAAAGGTAGATTTCCATTTCATAGTCATTCAGATAATCATCAGTTCATACTAAGAAGAAAGGATCACATGAACAGTAGAAATGCATCAAGTATGTCAGACAGGCATCAAACGCCAATCATAGTTAATGAATATCTCATAACCACGAGCACATTAAAAAATTATAGCAAAATCAATAATATCCAAAAATTTTTTACACTCTCCTCGTGTAACAAATAATTTTTCTATACTAGACTAAGAGCATGCTTGGTTAAATTTTAAAAAATAAAAATAATAATAAATATATAAATAAATAAAATAATAATATCTAGCACCAGTTTAAATGGCCACAATTGATAGATCTAGTTAAATGGATGTGTAACATTGCATTTAAACGAATCTATCATTTAATACCATTTAGTTGCCACCTCAAACTAGTATTCAACATTATTGGGACTAAATAACATTATTCTTTAAAAAAGTTTAGTTAAATGAGAAAATAATATATATTTTTATCATGTGTCTTGATCAAAGTGATTTTAATGAAAGGTAGGTCTTACAGTCAAATAAGTTTTTATTTTTTATTTAAATACTTTAAAAAAATATAATGTGTATTTAGACAGTGAGGTAGATTTCATATCAAATAAATGTAACTAACAATCATCTTTCGCCGCATGTAGACTCATAATGAATTCGTGTTTGTACATGCTCGACCACACCCTTGGCATTTCTGCATTCTAGTAGTTTCACAGGGTAACCTTTTGAAAGTAGGCTGTATCTGGATTACTAAAGGAGGTATGCACTTCAAACGTACTATAAGCATTATCTCAAAACAGAAAATAGATCGTGAATATCACAAAAAAATGATTACATCTGAACCATGAACCATCAAGCATTGCAATATATTTTCTGTACATTGACAAGGAGAAAGGAGAATTCGATACACAACAAAGGGGTTAGTACGTAGACCATCATAACCACTAAAAGACCAGATGACAATGTATACATTTCATACATGAAACAAGTCAGCAAGAGTTAGCTAGTAAAACATAGTAGGCTGTGGTGACTGGAGACCGCTGGAAGGGTGAATCGACCAATTGTTTGACTGTGTGACAACAAATTCTTATGCTCGAAAGGAATTTCTCAAATAAAGATTAAGTACAAAGACAGCTGTATACCTGAGTCTGGATATCATCTCCAGTGACAATATTACCAACAGTGCGCAGAGCAGGAATCAACACAGATGGCGAAGGATGTCTGTAAACCATGAGAAACCCAATAAGCAAAACTATGAAGTTCAATATACAAAAACAAAGCTACAAATGAATTCCACGAACACAGATGTAAAAAATATGGAATGATATCAAATTGGATTTTGTCACTGACAGCAAAAGTTCAACCAAACGAGGGCTAACACCAGCCTCGATCACAGCTTGAATTTTATCATTTGTCCCATCGGATAGATACGACAGTGCCCAACATGCATCAGTAAGAACTTCTTCATCATTGGTGTGTATCAAATGAGCAAGAGCAAGGAGGGCAGGCTTCACCTGCTCAATAATTTTCAAACGGAATTGATTCAATTTAAAACGGTCCAGCAGGATTGATATGCAACAAGACCAAGAAGCAAAGTAATAATAGGACAAACCTGCTCAAACTGGGGCTGTGGCTTTCCCCGACAAAAGTTTGACAGTGTCCATGTTGCATTTCGCAACATAGATAGCTTTGCTTTGTCATTAAATTGTGCTAACAAGGGCATTAACGCTCCATAACTAAGGACAAGATCACGACATTTTGGTGAATCGCCAGCAATGTTTCCTAACGCCCAAACTGCCTACATCAAGTAGTTGAACAAAAGACAAAAACAGCCAAAAAGTAAAATTCAAAGCTGAAGCACAACGCCATCATGTTATTTACAACATCTACCTGTTCACGAACATCATCGCTAGGGGAACTGAGAAGTCTCACAAATATGGGAACTGCACCATGATCAATCACGACCTTGGTGTTCTCGGATGTTCCAGATGCAATGTTTGTAAGAGCCCAAGCTGCCTCAAACTAGATAAAGGAATAACTCAATGCATGATCCAAAAATTTAGAACACAAAAACAAGAAGAAGCACTTATAAGCCCAAATTTAAACCTGAAGCTGCGGGTAATCATCTCTTCCAAGAAACTCAACAAATCGAGGAACAACTCCAGACTGTATTACTTCTTCAATTGGTGGGTTTCGTTCTGTAGCAACAAATTAATTAAAAACAAACAGAACCAGCCGAAAGAAAAAATTAACACTAGACAGTAATAAGATCCATTTCAAATTTAATAGCATCAACGAAGATTTTAATTAACTAATTACCTATTGAAAGAAGTTTGCGAAACTGAGTTGTGGCCTCGAGTTGTAGTGTGCCGTCATTCGACCAAACGCCAGCGATCATTTCCGGAAGACTTTCCAACTGAAACAATGAAAAATGTAAATCCAATAGCACAAAACCGAAGTCAGATTAGTCCATCTAGAGCAAAGACAAATCAAATCAAACTATTCTTATCTCACATTTCTTCACGAATTATAATCGATTGAATATTGCGATCTGACTACAAGTACAGTTAACAAAACACTAACCTCCCAAGCCGAATTCGAAATTGAACAATGAGCTAGTACTAATTCCATGTTCAACAATCAACTATTACAGTATAACTAAATCTCATAGAACTCCAGTAGATCAAAGCTCTACGATATTCAAAAAAGCAGAAGATTCAATCGCAAGCGTGTTTTCACCTTCTTGTCCACCTGCTGAGGGATAGTGACGGTTGGCTGAAACTGCTGTGCTTGTAGACCTTCACGGCGCTTCTTCAGCAAGTTCTCCTCCCTTCGATTCTTCCGGATCTCCACCATGTTATCCTCCCTCCTCCGCCGCCCCTCCTCTGCGTCCACCGCCACCTTGTACTTGCTCCGCCTGACCTCCGTCCTCGCGTTCGGCCTCAACGACATCGTTTCCGCAATTCAAAAAATCAGGAAACCTTGATGAAACAATAAATTCAATTTTTATGTATTGAAATATATTTGATACCGATGAGAGTTGGAGAGTATGGTTTTTGTGCGATTGTGGAATGATGGGCTGATGAGGCGATCAGGTTTCAACAACTGCTTGATTAAGAAATGGACATGACTTTTGCTATATTTACATTAATGCCACAATCGAATTTTTTTATAGAAATTCGAACATTAGTAGTTTGATCGTCAGTTGGCAGCATTTTCCTAAAAGGATATCTAGATACGGTGACGGTACACCGACATAAAGAATCATGTAATCTTGTGAAATGCGATTTAAGATTATAAGGTGGGGGCCAACATAGACATTATCCATCGTACTTTTGGTAATCAAACTAGCAAAAGCATTTTCGGCGGCCTCAAAAAGTTTGCTTAGGGCACGCTGGAGAGATTAGGTACTGGTTATGGGGATTTTAAAATACTGATTGATTGTTAGGAGGCTTTGATGATTCTTGAACATCGTTAACAGCTTGTGAATTTCAATAATTGATTCTTTAACAACTTTTTTTTTTTTTTGATACTCAGGTATCCCAATTTCGTCGGACTAAATCTTGGACCCCTAGCCACCGACCCCTCAATGACTAGCGGAGGTAAACCGCAGGTTGTACCCTTCTTGAATCACAGGTTCCCACTTGGTTGTTATTCCTGGCCTCAAAAGAGCTTTCCTCCATAGTGATTGATCCACCAATAAATTGCCCATTTATTGGATCACAGATTCCCACCAAGAATCGAACTCTCTACGCTGAGGTTGCGAGCCCGCCTAAAGTGATTGATCTACCAACTCGGACGTGCCCTGGGGGGCATTTTGATTCTTTAACACTTGTTTGTATTTTAGGGAGTGTAATGCTTGAGGTGAAAAGTTGAGATTCTAAATGATTATCTAGTTTGTTCGCTCTCACTTATCAAGTTATTCTCAAGAATTTTAGCATTTTTATTTGATATTGTGAATGAACAGTTAAATTTATACACTTTAGACTTTTCAGCATATCTAATTAAATGCCCACCAACTTCTACTCTTGTAAATTATAGATCCTCATTTTAGAAAGGCATTCCCAAATGCACATATGTCGCAAACTTGGTTTCCAACCTTTCAACAATTCAAATGGCATCTTTGGGATAGTCTTGGTACACTGCCCTCTTAAATGTTTCACTCCACAAGGATTTAGGAAGGTGAAGTTACTAATCATACTCTACACCACGTTCAATTATGCCATTCTAGTTCGTTGAACCAAGAATGGTGTATTAGACAACCTTCCATGCTTTTGAAGAAACTTAGCAAATGGACCATTTACTTGTCCCCTTTGCGTATTTATCGTAATATTCTCCATCTGATCTTACGATCTTAATATGCTTCTCGCATTGTTTCTCTACTTCAATCTTAAAGATTTTAAAGATGTCCAATGCTTCGTTCTTGTTATAAAGCAAGTAATATATATAGTAATCATCAATAAAGTTAATGGAAAATTTTCGACCATGTGAGTTTATGTTTGGACAACGTATATCAGTATGTATGATTTTTAATATGTCTAAACTCCTATCGACCTCTTTCTTAGACTTGTTGGTATGATTTCTCTTAATACAATCCACACGTCTCAAATTTTGTGAAAATCTAGAATATTAAGTGCCCAATCATTTACTAATCTTGTAATTGGATAGGTCTCCAGTGCCATAACATCGATAAACTCGTGTTAATATTACACCTTTTACTGTCAATATGAATATGCATTGAACTATAAGTGATATTATTTTGTAAATTAATAGGACAAAGACCATAAGACAAAATATCATTCTTAACACAATAGAATTATAAAATAAATTAAATGACTTGTTTGAAAAATTAAAAGAATATCCCAAGGTTACAAGTTTGGATATAAAAATTAAGCTCATGTTTGGTTGAAATTAAAATCTAGATTTTACTCTAAGTCAAAGTGAACGATTACTTTTTTTCACATATTTCATGGGATTCACAAATTTTCAAACACACTATTCATTAACTTTTATCAAAATCTATTAAAATTTTGATTTTAATCCCCACCATACAAAAGCTAAGTTTCATAGAAAATTTGGAACATAAAAATGTCATATCCAATTCTAAAACAAAGCCGCTACTTAAAGTTAAAACACATGTTCCCATAACCTTCACATGCAAGCCCATCTTATTTTTGAATAAGATATTTTGATCACTTCTCACTGATTTCCATAGGTTATGCATATCCTGCAAAGAGTTTTCAATATAGATTGTAGATTCAGAGTCAATCCATTATATTTTAGTATTTATATTAACCATATTAGATTCATAACAAACTAATGGGATTGGATTACCTTTGTCTTCAAGTTATTTCTTCAATTCAGCACAATCTTTCTTTACGTGTCTATTCTTTTTACAGAAGTAACAGTTGGCCTCATTCTTGATATCAGCTTGAGGTGGTATTCTGCCTTCCCGCTTCTGATTGGCTTGAGCATGCTTATTCCCACGGGTTGTAGCTAGCTTTACACTTTCACGTTGCTCCATCATTACCATCCCTTTCTCTTGAACACACATAGTCATTCATTCATTGATCGACTATTTATCCTTATGTGTTGTATGATAATTTGAAAGAACCGTAATATTGTGAGAGAGTGTTCAAGATGTAATGCACAAGGAAGGATTCAGACATCTCAACCTCGAGTTTCTTAAATTAAGTTGTAAAGTCCCTCATTTGCATGATATGCTTCTGCACACCTTCACACTAGTGAGCCTTAAAAGTAAAAGCTCCATTACAAGGGTGCCTACTAAATCCTTATTTGAAGTGACGAATTGATCATCAATAGCCTTTAACAAGTTAAAATTATCGTGCTAATCGACTGAACCACGTATACCTGTAGAAATTTTTGTTTTTATAAACATCATATTGAGGCGATTTAATCCCTCCCATTTTTCACAAAACATGATGTTTTCAGTAGTGTTGGTATCTGTGATTTTGGGTGGTTCATCTTTTTTAATAGCACGGTCAATGTCCATCCACCCTAAATGAAGAAGTATTGTTCGCTTCCATACTTTATAATTATCACCCTTTAGTTCGAAAATATCACAACGAATATTATAGAATTTAACAGGTTGTGAAGCTGCATAATATTAAATATGCTTATGTCAAAATTGAGACTTAATTGAATAAATTGCTTGTTTTACCAATGTAAATCATGCTAAAATAAAAATAATGACATAATATTGTCCATGGGTTCAAATTTTAATTCAAGCATATTCAATTATTCCATATAATGATATAATAGAATTATCAAATTATGTATTCAATATATATTTTGGGTACATTATGAAAAAAACTTGATATTCTATTCTAAAGCAAACTATATAATACAACTATCAAATTATGTACTTGTTCACAATTTCCATGGCCATATTATGAAATAATTTGAAATTTTATTCTAGTTAGTTATATAGATATAACGAAAGTTTCCTGTGAGATAAAATTTATTATATTAATAATAAGTAATTACAATTTAATGTCTTTACTCTTTATTTGATCCTAAAAATACAATTTTATTTAATTAAAGAAGCTGTGGCTGATCCCTAATTAAATAAAACTATATAGATCACTAGACACTATCATTTTTATGTTTAAAAGATTAACTCAATATGAGAATAATTATAGTAGCACAATTATAACTAACGTTTTATGATTATATACAAAATTTTCTCATGAACGTTACAAATTGCATAAAATTTAAGTTATCTAAGTTTGTACATAATAATTTAAAACAAAATTAATACACACAAACTAAGAGCATGTTTGAATCCCTTTTTTATTGAATCACGCATTTTGGAATAGTAGATTAATGGATAATGTGTGATTAAAAATAAGAAAAAGTTATTAATTTACATGTAGTATTATTTTATTGAAAAATGTGTTATTGAAAAGAAAATAGAGAAAAATATATTTTAAAAATATTGGGAATTAAATAGGAGCTAAATATGAGCATAATAAATACCTTTGCATAATTTAATTCATCATAAAATTACATTTATTTTTAAATAATTAACATATGCAAAAATTAAGCAAAATAGATATAAAACAAAATAAACGCCCAATAATTAAATTCTGCAAAATTGGCCTAATAAACAATGTGGAAATTACACGTACCCAAAATTTTAAAACGCATAACTCAAAAATCAGATTTGAAAGTACTTTTCTTTTGAAAAATCAAATAACAATTTCCTTTTGATATTATATTAATAATATTTTATAACTAAATTAATCTATATACTCACCATACCTCCATCCACCCAAACCTTAATTATTTTCCTCTTCCTCTTCTTTCTACATCTCTCCATTCTCTTTTCTCAAACGTCGACGACCCATTAAAACTCTCGCGATCGAAGATGAAGGAGCTACATCGATCGATGCTGCTGGCATCGGGGGTGCTGAGAGTTCGCAGTAGCGTCGGCGCGCAGCGTCGGCGCCGACGCTGCTGCGAACAACATCGCGATGCAGTCCATCGAAGCTACTATTTGCTGCAGCATTGAAACATCAGTCGTTGATGGTTTTGAGTGTTACTTTTTTCCTCTTCCGATCTGATCTGCTTTTTCGAAGTTTTTGTGATGGTTTTGATGTTGGTTGTTGTTGGATTACTTGTTTTTAGTTTGCAAATGGTTGTGTTTTATTGGTGGTGGTGGTGTTTAGTGGTTTTTAACAATGGTGGTGGTGGTAGCGGTAGCAATAGCGATGGTGACTGTGGTGGTGGCGACAATGACTATGATGGTAGTGGTGATGGTGCGTTTCTATTGGAGTGGGTCAGCGTTTGTGACGGGATGGGGATGAAGTATGTTTGTGACCGACTACTTGGTTGATTTGTGATCAAGTATTGGTAGTGGATTGAAATAGAGGATGGGGTGAAGTGTCCGATGCATGTGACCAACTATTTGGTTATTTTGACCAATTATTTAATTGTAACCTAAAAATTTGATAATTCTTGACTGAAAAGTAATTTGTGACTGACTAAGTTGAAAATTTGTGATCGTTACTTAAGTTGTGACCAATAAAAATTATGATTTGTGGCCAATAAATAAATTTTGTAATCGCTGACAAATTATTTTGATAATATATGACTAATAAATAAATTGTAACCCATAAGTATGTAACTGTGATAATTTATTGTATAATT